CTCTCAGCCTATTGTCCTCGATGCCAAGTATCTCGAATGTCTTCGCCATCTGCTCCAGCCATTCTCGCCTTTAATGGCTCCTTTAGATCCTTAAAAAACTCATCCGAATTCAATCGGAAGAACTTCTTTTTAAGAAACGATGGCCCTGTCTCAACAACATGGGCCTAGACTTGATTCTCAACCCTGAGAATGTCCATGGATTCCCGCAAAACCCCAACCATCTCACGGGCTAAAGCACCCATGGTCTGTTGACCAACTAGTTCGACCATATTGGCCTGACTAACCCCTTCATCCTACTCCGGAATATCATCTGGTAACGGCTCTTCCTGTCATCTAGGCCTACCATGCCTACCACCATCACGCCTATGTCCTGACATCCTAATGAAGGTAATACAAGAGATTAACACATTTATAAAATGTCGAAGCTAACTCACTCGTGTCCTAATACAGTGGACAACATTTAATTCACTCCAAATAAGCACGTAGTCATATAAACACATACGAATTCCCTTTCTAGATAATGATTGTCCTGCGACGTTGCTAGAGTTCCAGTTAGAAATAGCAGTGATCAAGTGCTCTGCTAACAAGACTTCTAGAAACTCATAAACCCAGTCAATATCTTAGAAATTAAATTCCATACCCACTTAGTCATATAAGCATGTTATCACATAGCATACTAAGTTTACTCCTAACACAACTAGAAAGATAACCTATTGTGGTAAAAACCACATCCCATGATCCCAAAGTATTTAAACCCGATAGCTTTGATATCAAGTTGTAACACCCTGAAAATAATAACCATAACTCAGCCTGCGATATTAATTAAATAACAAACACAGTTCTGAATATGATATCTTTACATTCATATGAATCAATGATTACAAAAGATGGAACATGTAACTATACATTCATAAGCCCTAACCTTGAATCTATAGCGTGTGCCATAAACAAAATATATGAAATAAAAGTCAAAATAGATAAATTAATGCCCTATTGGCTACAACTTTCCATGATGGTGCTTGGTTACAACAAAAATTAGTTTAAACTCAATACAACTAAAGCCCTAGGCTTGTACAAAATAAATTCAACAATAACAAAAAGAGAAGCTCTTTGCTCCAAGTCCTCCCAAGCTACTGTCTTGGCGAAGGCATATCATCAGTACTTGAAAATGGTTTTCCATATAAGGTGAGCCAAAGCCTAGTAGAGATACTCTAATACAGTGTATGAATCTTAACAAAGCTATAAGGTGAATGCATATGCAATGTTCGTGCCAAAACATTTTATATTTCTTTTCAAAACCATGCAATGCCAAGTTTATATCAAAATTCATGAAATCATTTCCTTTACAATAGAAAATAGGGCAATAGATACAACATTGGGAATCTTTAGGTACGTGTCTGCAAGTAGGCTATACAAGTACTACCAATTGCCATTTTTACCGGTACTAACCAAAAGGCTCGGCACCTAACCACGTGAGTTTCTAGACTTTCACCAAGGACACACAGGCCAACAATAATACCACAACCACACTCCCTATTCAAATTCACCAAGGTATTCACCTATTTTTTCTCGAAACGATATACATTTTCAATGTGTTAACATATGCAACAATGCTCAATGTAAATGGCTGAGAAATTAGTTTTCATTCTCCTAATTCTCATGCAATTTCTACAACAATCATAGCTATCCTCCACCGATAGCCCAAAACAGATATCTCTAAACAGATAGATAATTTTCAATAAAGATAAACTTTCTAAAATTTCAAGATGAGAGTGATAATACATATCCGACTCCATCATCATCATCATCATCGTTCCAATTTCATAAAATCTAACATTATTTCCATTTCCCCTTTACAAAATCAAATATTAGCAATTTATCTCATTTTCTTTATAAATCAATTCCAAGGATAAAATCCATCATTTTATCACAACTCAACCACATTTACAAACCCATAATCATATTTAAGAACCCATTTTGAAAACCCCTCTTTTGATTTCAAAACTAAAACCTTAGGTTTATCAAAAAATTCCCAAATCGCCATATTGTTAAGAAAAATAAATAACTAAGTTAAAAATCATACTAAAGTGCGGAGAAACCCTTACCTCAAAGTTATAAATAAGGAAGATCAAAGGTTGGAACTTGATGAAGCCCAAAACAAGTTTTGCTTTGATCAAAAGGATGCTCTAGGCAAGCTTTACTCTTTTTCCCAAAGGACAATGGTTTAGAAATCAACAGATCAAGGTGTATTTGAGGTTTAGAGATGGCTTCTAGAGAGAGAGAAAGAAGATCAGAGATTTTAAAATGTTTAGAGAGATATATATGAAAAAGTGACTCAAAAAGTGAGTTTTCGGAACTGATATACGCATAGACCGCTCAAGCAACCAAAACACCGCTCGAACAAACAAAATAACCGCTCGAGCGAAGAACACCACCCTCCATTACTTTTACAAGCCTACAAAAGTACTGAGAGTTCGCAAAGAGCGCACGAACGCAAGAAGGATCGCTCGAGCCAAGACCGCTCGAGCTCAAGAAACACTGCTTGAGCGAAAAAAACACCCGCCCAGTATATTTGCAGACTTGCAAAAGTTCTCAAAGACTGCTCAAGTGACCAAAGGACCGCTCGAGTGAATTAACCAAAATTTAGGCAACAATTCAATTGAAAAATAACCAGCCGACTTGTTCCAAATGCAACCAAGACATCCAAGCAACCAAACTCAATCAAGAGTAAGATGAGTATGGATATGAACAACCAAATAAGACAGTGAATTCCGGATCCAAAACAATAAACAAGGTCTAACTTGGAATCGTTATATTCCATATATATTATTTATGAAAAGAATTAAGTCAATCCAATAATCATAATATTTTTCATTTTATTGCACTTGTTTTTGTGTGTGTCAAATCATCTTGTTATTTAAATTTTCAGAGACAAACGCTATAAAAGGAAAAATATTATGATTATTAAATCAATTTAATTTTTTATATAAATTACATGCATGGTGGTCAAGTTCAGATTTAAAGTCAAAAAGTAACTTTTTAATCCGTGCCAAACGGGACCTTGATTATAAAATTTTGTATCAAATGTTGGTATGCTTACATGAATTTAAGGGTGTCTATTTGTTTTGGGGAATGTTACGGTATACACCCTTTAAAGGATATGTATCATATACATTTTATTATTAAAAAAAAGATATAATTTCATATTTTTTAAGTTAAAACTAAAAAAAATAAAAATATAACGTAACCCTACATAAGGCATAATCAAACACATCAAAATACTACCATAACTAAATAATAAAATTGGTCATAACTAAAGAAGAAAATAACATAATTAAGGATGTATATGATAATGGATGTATATTGTAGAATTCTCCATTTGTTTTACGCTTAAATGATTTGCATTTTCCTAAAATAGGAATCCATAATTGGGGTGTCAACAGTGCTCCGCATAGCAATTAATGTTGTGCAATTGACAGGGCCTATTTCGATAATTTGAACCGTGTACTTTTTTTAGATTACGTCAAGTGAAATATACTTGCAAATAATCAACTTGACGGATATCGGTAGCCTTTTCGTCGAATTGCATTTTGTATCTAACAATGATAAATATTAAATATGATTTGAAACATAAAACTGAACACATATCTAATTTAATAAAAGAGTTGTTGATGTCAAGTTAATTTTTTACAAGTGTGTTATACTTGATTTAATCTAAAAAGTGAATAGTATAAATCATCGAAATGGGCCATATTGGTTGTACAACAGTGGTTACTATGTAAGGGCACAACAAGAATCGAAGGTGCATGGTAATCTAATTTATCGTGTTTCCTACCAAAAAAAAAAAAAAAAAAGGGAAAAAAATAAAAGGTGAAAAAATGGTAAACTAAACAAGTTACAGTTATCAGATCGACCTAATTTTTTTTATGGATGAAATACATGAAATATCTGACAAAATGAATAGTTTAAATCATTGAAATGAGGCTCATGATGGATCCCACAGACCCAAACTGTGCCATATTAGATTGGAGAGAATCTGCTTGTATATATTAATATTATAAAATAATTCAACCTAGTCAAATTACACAACAATACTTAGGTATACTAATATACTATTTTTTTCAATAAAATTAATGGCAACGAGATTATGATTTTCAATCAAGCAAAGATATATATATATATATATATATATATACATATATAAGCTCTATTTACATATAAAATTTAGGAATTTTTTTTTTAAGGTCCTTAATATTAAGATTTTATAGGATAAAGGACATGTAATATTTTCATAGTGGTCTCAATATTTTTCTAGAGGAATTTCGATTAAAAGAGATTTTGATCTATGTTCTGAAATTTCTCTAATTTCCTCACAAATTTCGCTGTGTTTGACCAATTTTCTCTAGTTTGATCACAATTTTTTTTCTGTATTTTGACCAAATCAGAGAAAATTGAACTACAAAATTGAATAAAACTAGTCATGATGATAATGAAAATAGGGTTAGAGACTGTGTGTGATAATGAAAATAGAAACAAATTTGGTCCAATCTGCAACGATTATGTTGCTTTCATCTGCAATAGACATCAGAGTTTTCAAAAGGAACTCTTAATCTCTCTGGCTCTTTTCTAGAGTTTATCATCATGTCAATTCACATCAGAGTCAATTACAGGTATATTGATTCTCTTATGTGTATATATGAATGTGTGAAGAATGACCAAGCTCAAATTAGTTGAATTTTTAGTAGTGGTAGTCGAGGCAGTTACTGTGTTAGAGAGAGAGAGAGAGTGTGTGATAAAATTTATAAAAATAAAAAAAAAAAGTTCACAAAAATATTAAATTACATCATTATATACAAAAATTACATCATTTTATACAAAAATTATGTATGTATTTTTTTATATCATTATTAAAAAAAATGATGTCATGATATTTATTATGTCAATAAGGCCTACACTTACCATATTTTTACATGATATTTAATGTGTGACATAGATAATGGTTGTTGTAATAGTATCCATATAAGTGTCTTCAACCATTAATAGTTATGCGTACAAAACAAAATAGTATAAAAATATAATAAACATAGAATTAATTTGAACAATTTTAATGGTATCACTGCTACATAATTCTTAAAAAAAAAATTCAAAGTCCAGTGGTTTCAATTGAACCCACTACTTCATGCATGGCCCCACCGCCCATGCGCATAGTTATCTACCTCTTCATCTACAATGTTCGTTGAAGCTCATCCATTAGTAGATGTGCAACCGATTTGTATCCCATCTCACGAGCTACATGTTCAATCCAACCAAACAGAAATTATACAATTAATAGGAGTTGAATTTGGATGATGGCAAAAACATGAATTTGAAAAATGTTAACTAGGACACACCTTTGAATATAGCAACCCCAGTTGGAACCTTCTTTCTCTTCCTTAAGCACAATGAACTATTCAACAAAAGAGCATAAAAACATGGAGATTTTCAAGAAATTCCACAAATACACAGTGCAAGATTGTACGGCAAAATAGATGTACCTGTTACATATCCAATATGGTTTAATTCCTTTATCCTCTATGCAGTGAGGGCACATCCATTGCTTATTTCTTCTCACCACCTCCATTTCTGGCAGATAATCAAGTCAAGTAAAAAAAAAATAGTAGATTCTTAGTTATCTTTTTGGATGGGACACGCTGGGGCTACAAATGAACCGAACTGTTCATGAACAAACTCAGCTTGGCTTCGCTCGGTTCGTTTAGTAAACGAGCCGAGCTCGAGCTCGCATAAGCTCGGCTCGTCAAGCTCGGCTCGTTTATCTTTATTTAAATTATATAATAAATATATTATTTATATATTAAATAATATTTAATAAATAAATATATATAAATAATAATATAAATAAATTATTTATATATTAAATAATATAAATAATATTTTTATTTAAACAATATAAATAATATTAAAAAAAATTTATCGAGCCCATAATATTAAAAAAAATTTAATCAAAATTTATCGAGCCCAGCTAAGCTCGAGTTCTATTAATGTTAACGAGCCGAGCTCGAGCTTAATAAACGAGCTAGATAAGTAAACGAGCCAAACTCAACCTCAGCAAAGCTCGGCTCAGTTCGGTTCTTTTGCAGCCCTAGGACACGTTATGCATGTGTAATTTTATATCTAAATTTTTCGATGGGATGAGAAATATTGGTTTGGGACACGCTTATCTATTCAATTAGCAATTCTATGGGCATTTTTTGAAATCAAAATTGTGGCAGACAATGCATCAAAAAATTGTGCTGAGTTGTGAGCTTTTATATAATATAATAGGATGATGTGATCATGATCAGAATGTGGCTTTAACCATTTCTTGAGTCATGTTTTCAGCTTACCTTCACCGTATCTAACCTTGAGACAAGCTCGGCAGAGAACACCATTGCTAGAATGACATACTGAACAGTCTGTCTTGCCTGTGTACGAAATGTTTGTAAAAGTCACATCTACAGTATTTTTAAAATGTAAAAAAAAACTTCTAGTATAACACCAACCTAAGCACGGTTGATCCATATCTAGATCACCACACCGCTTACAATCTTCTTCAACACACAATGTCTTTTGCCTGCATTTTATTATTTCAAACTGATAATGAGTATCACTAACAATGTCTCTGTAATCAAACTGCCATCATAGCTGTTGCAACTTAGCAAACCAAGAGATTTAAACCTAAAATCATTACACATTGAAGCTTGACCACACTTGAAAGAATTCGAAAATAGAAACCTTGAACTCACACATAGCTCATTATAAAACAATTAAAAGAAGAGAAAAAAAAATAAAAGGTTGCATAGAGATGTTCATCTAATTTATGCTGGCCATTGATTCTAATCATCCAAAACAAGTAACATCGATGTGCAATATTTCTAGAAACAGGCCTGAAAAGGATCTGAGAACTTCAATACCAAGAGATTAAGATCTTTCATTGCAAAAGCCGAATTGAGCTGTTGAATGAATGAAGGTACTGAGCATTATTTCTTGTAAGAACAATGTCATCCACATTCCAGTTGCAGCGCTAATAAAAAACACTTGCTGCTTGAGAAATGAAGAAAACTTAGAAATGTAGTGTAATCATCATAAATTCCTAAGCAACTAGAATAACAATGCAAACTTCTTAGTTCTGCTTGTGAAATATCTGATTTCAAGATCAAATGTAAAGGTAGCCAATCTTTTTATTGCCGACTGAAAAAGAAAAACCACTTCAAGAAATGGTAGCTTAAATCCACCGCTATGAACTCTTTTCTGGCTCTTCTTCTCAAAAGAAAAAAATGGAGCTATTTTTTAAAGCAAGGTCAATGGAAGTCAGACCGTTGTTACATTTAGGGGCAAAAAGACCAATATGCAAAGCGATGTCTTCAGAGAAAAGAAGGAAAAAAATAAAAATAAAGGACAAATTAGCCAATTCATCGTTTCAGCTTGAAGATCTTGATGATGTTGACATCGAATCTGTTTTTTCTTTACAAGAAGCCACATTTAATCCCCAATAAGGAATCCTCATAATCATGATGTCTACATACTATTCATTTATTTAATTGGTTTCTAGTTAATGGTTTAATTGAATGCAAATAATTGAATTTTTGAATTATTTGTTTTAATTTTGTTATACTTATGTAAATGTAAATGATTGAATTTTGTTAACTTGTACTAATCCTAAATGTAAATAATTGAATTTTTGTTTTAATTTTGTTATACTTATGTATCCAATAGTTGAAAAGTTTGATTATTCTGTGTTACAGGTAAATTTTGTTCACCTGTTTTAATTTTATATGTTTGTTTTAACTCAATTTTTTTTCTTATATAATTGTTCTATATTTGGGGGGGGGGGGGGGGGGGACCTGGTTCTCCAGAATTCGAGCAGTTCTGATACTTTCATAGTCACTCTTTGTTTCATGATGATTTGAGCATTTCTGAGCTTTTGTAGCCTTAAGAAAAGCTTGGCAGACAACACCATTACTAGAACAGTCTGTCATGCCTGTCTAGGAAATGTTTTTATGTTAAAGCTATTTAAGTAACTTCAGAATGTAAAAAAAATGAATTTGAAGTATGACACTAACCAATGCTTCGTTGATCCATTTCTAGATTACCACACTGCTGCTTACAATCTTGTTTACCTTTTAATGTTTTTCGCCTGAATTTAATATTCCAAATTCATAATAAGAATACTGAAAACTTTTTCTGAAAATTGAACTTTAAGATGAACAAAAGAACAGACTCTACTGAATGTTCATTTCTCAGCTCTAAGGCCATTCACTTACACTAGACACACACACACAAACACACACATAACAGTTAAAGAAGAGGAGTAACTAACTACTAACCAACATCTGGAACCAAGAGACATGTAAGGGCTTGCAACTTGCTCCAAAGAAGCAACTTAAGAAACCACAATCCGTTTTGTGCAAGCAAGAAAAAACAGGATTATGAGATGAGAAATCACATAGATATTTGTCACACCAACGAATTGGAGGAGCAACCGATGAAAAGTGAAGATAATCTGCCACTGTAGGTTGCTTCTTTGCAGAACAAGAAACAAGATGGTGTCCAAAATAAACACAAAAATCCGCAGCGGAGTCTGCATCCAAAAATGCAGAAATATGGAGTGGACCAGGAACAAAGGGACACACCTTGATGTAAATAGCCTTGAATGCAAAATGATATCTTCTCAGATCTAATCAAAGTAAGATATTTCAGAGAGTCAACAAGATTTTGATAGAGTTCTAAATCAGGAAACGGATCATCACAATCCAATTGGGGACTAATTTTGACAGCAGAAGCAACAAGCCTTGGTTAGTGTCATCACAATCAATCAGTCATAGCTGCTTTACACAGCAGGTCCTTATCATATTAGGTTGAGATAGAAACAGGCCTGAAAAGGATCTGAGAACTTCAATACCAAGAGATTAAGATCTTTCATTGCAAAAGCCGAATTGAGCTGTTGAATGAATGAAGGTACTGAGCATTATTTCTTGTAAGAACAATGTCATCCACATTCCAGTTGCAGCGCTAATAAAAAACACTTGCTGCTTGAGAAATGAAGAAAACTTAGAAATGTAGTGTAATCATCATAAATTCCTAAGCAACTAGAATAACAATGCAAACTTCTTAGTTCTGCTTGTGAAATATCTGATTTCAAGATGAAATGTAAAGGTAGCCAATCTTTTTATTGCCGACTGAAAAAGAAAAACCACTTCAAGAAATGGTAGCTTAAATCCACCGCTATGAACTCTTTTCTGGCTCTTCTTCTCAAAAGAAAAAAATGGAGCTATTTTTTAAAGCAAGGTCAATGGAAGTCAGACCGTTGTTACATTTAGGGGCAAAAAGACCAATATGCAAAGCGATGTCTTCAGAGAAAAGAAGGAAAAAAATAAAAATAAAGGACAAATTAGCCAATTCATCGTTTCAGCTTGAAGATCTTGATGATGTTGACATCGAATCTGTTTTTTCTTTACAAGAAGAAGCCACATTTAATCCAAATAAGGAATCCTCATAATCATGATGTTGATCATGATGTTGACGTCGAATCTGTTTTTTCTTTACAAGAAGCCACATTTAATCCCCAATAAGGAATCCTCATAATCATGATGTCTACATACTATTCATTTATTTAATTGGTTTCTAGTTAATGGTTTAATTGAATGCAAATAATTGAATTTTTGAATTATTTGTTTTAATTTTGTTATACTCGAATCTGTTTTTTTTTTACAAGAAGAAGCCACATTTAATCCAAATAAGGAATCCTCATAATCATGATGTTGACGTCGAATCTGTTTTTTCTTTACAAGAAGCCACATATAATCCCCAATAAGGAATCCTCATAATCATGATGTCTACATACTATTCATTTATTTAATTGGTTTCTAGTTAATGGTTTAATTGAATGCAAATAATTGAATTTTTGAATTATTTGTTTTAATTTTGTTATACTTATGTAAATGTAAATGATTGAATTTTGTTAACTTGTACTAATCCTAAATGTAAATAATTGAATTTTTGTTTTAATTTTGTTATACTTATGTATCCAATAGTTGAAAAGTTTGATTATTCTGTGTTATAGGTAAATTTTGTTCACCTGTTTTGATTTTATATGTTTGTTTTAACTCAATTTTTTTTCTTATATAATTGTTCTATATTTTTCTTTAGCACAGTCCAATTAGATAATTGTTCTTCAATGTGTTCTATTTCTTAACCACTAAGGGCTTACTAGAGGAACCTTCACTTGTTAAGATATTGAAAAATGTCATAAATATTCTTGCCATTACTATTGAGATAACTGTAGATGCCAACAGGTGGTTCTGTCTAAGCTCATGGTCTTTACATGGCTTCCTGTCTAAATGACCAGCTTACAGACTTCTGCGACTTGGGTACTAGTCCAGTTATCTTAGTGACTTGAGATAACTTAAAGAACATTTAAGAATCCCAAATATAGTGGCTTTGATACCCTAAAGGATTCATGAGTCGTTTGTTTTCTAAAGGACTCTTGAACCATATTATCTTTTGGCCCTAACTTCCATATTCTCCTAGAAAAACCTTTACTTTTGAAATTAACTAGAAAAAGGTAACCCTCTTTTCCCTCAAATTCTATATTTTATTCATGACTTTAAAATTCTTTGGATCATGGCTTGGCAATACACTACTTCATATCCTCATAATACAATGTTCTGTTCTTAACCCGTCAATTTGCTACCAAATGGTGCAAGAATTATTCCATTCCAAACAATCATTATCCTGGTTTTCTCCTTCAATTTTATGAACAGCATATGACTGCCCCATCTATGACTTCTTCAAGTCTAAAATCTCAAAAATCATTTCATTATGATAATTTCAAGTCAGAATTAAAACAAAAGCTAAAGGAGAAATATCCTTCAATTTGTAAGAAAGATTTAAATCATAAGTATAAAAAAGCACTTAAAATGAAGATGATCTAACTCGCTGAGGCAGAAAAAGTTTCCTCAGAAGAAAAAGATGACTTATCTCTCAGTGTTTACCCAAAAGCAGGATACCTATGTCCACTAGCCCTCCGGACTCACCACCAAATATACCTAGTCAAAACCATGATGATGACTACTTTAACACGTGTCAAGGTGTTGATCTCAATAATTTGTGATTTCAGACCCAACGCAAATATCTCACAAGACGACAAAAAACTTTCTAGTACCAACCCATTTTTTATCAAAAGTAGATTATTGACAAAAGCAATTTATTCCAAAGCAAAAGCAGCAAACAAGAAGACCATGTGACGAAAAGACTCTAGCATTTATCTCTTCGGACTTCAAGCAATTTTCATAACCAATTTATTTCTTAGGTCTATATAAGCGATAGCCAAGAAGAAGAGAGGGCATCGAAAATTTTTACTGAAATTAGTGGGTGTGAATAGTATGCTATTTTACTTTCAATTTCATATCTGTATATGCTATGTTTGGTTTGTTTAGAATAGTATGATAGTTTGTAAGTATTTTTTGTACTATTTATATTTTGTATAATATAATCATGTTTTATGCCAATTCTTAATCGTTTTTATAATTTACATAGATTAAGATATTATCAAAAATTATTACAAAAACTATAAATACAATATCCTCAGACACACATTTTACCTATTGAAACTTGGGATGAACATCAAAGAAAATCAAATTTGGAAATATCAAGACCTTAGATGTGTTTTCTTCAACATAAGATTTTATTTTACAATCATTAAGGTTGACTATATTATATCAAATTTGGAAATATCAAGATTTGACTACTTGGGACTCCTATTGAGCGTGGGATCGTTTGAAAAATAATTAATTTTTGAATTATATGGTGCATTATATTCATTTAGTGTCTTGTGATTTATTTGAAGTTCTTCTTCAATATTATTAATTGATAGGGAATTCGATATCAAAACCAATATCATTTGCGAAGTGATTAAAGTCTTGGCAGACAGTGTGAGCAATGTGATTTGGTTGTGGCCTAGTAACCTGTAGAGGTGTGTGTTTATGGAATGATGATGTAAAGTAAACGGTGTTTGTGCAGGTGAAATTGGGTGGACTTAGAAGATCTTAATGATCTAGCTCGTAAGAAGCGAGACTTCTGAAATTGCAATACTACAGATCCATTTGGATTTTGTATAATGTGGTCGGGATTAGTTTGTGTGTGAGTATTATGTATGTGTATAGCATTATCGATGAGCCAAGTGTCATCATCCTCACCATCTGTTAATAAAACTTCATTCCATTTTATAACTCTAAGGACTATAATTTCAGATCTAGCTTGATGTGATTGGAAAAGGATTGTAGATCCTTGTAGACTAGTTGTATTCTTGAATCTAGGACAAGAAGTTGTCATAGCTTTGTAGTAAATACGATAAATATCCATTAAATTCAAAGCAGTTGAATCCATATTATATCTTTTTGTTTGAATAGTTAATATAATAATTGTTTTGTAAGATTGATTCCAATTGATTTCTAAATTCATCTGATATTCCAAAGCAGTTGAATTCGAGCCCAACAACAATGTGTTCTATTTCTAAATCACTTTGATTAACCACTAAGGGCTTACTAGAGGAACCTTCACCAGTTAAGATATTGGAAAACATCTTAAATATTCTTAAGCTCTCACGATCTTAACACGGCTCCTTGCCTAAATGATCTAATGGTTTACAGACTTCTGTGACTTGTGTGTTACTCTGGTTATCTTATTAATCATTTAAAGAACATTTAAGAATTCCAATATAGAAATGGCTCTGATACCAAAAGGAGTCCCATGTAATATAGAAATGGCTCTGATACCAAAAGGAGTCCCATGTAGTCAATCTTAATAATTGTAAAATAAAATCTTAATATTGAAGACAACATATCTAAAAGGTCTTGACATTTCCAAATTTGATATATTATTCTTTGATGTTTATCCCAAGTTTCAATAGGTAAAATGCGTAACTGAGGATATTGAATTTCTAATTTTTATAATAATTCTTGATAATATCTTAATCTACGTAAATAGTAAAAATGATTAAGAACTGGCATAAAACATAATTATATTATACAAAATAGAAATAGAACATAAAATCACACTATTCTAAGCAAACCAAACACAACAAATACAGATATTCACAAGCTTCACACTTTACTAATTTCACAAATATAAAATTGA